GCTGGATTTAGGAAAGAAAAATTATCTGAGGATCAAACAGCAGCACTGTATAAAATCACCAAACAGAAGATAGTGTGGTAGTCAAATCTCCACCTTAACGTCATTGACTTTGGAATGGCCTTCGATAGCATTGAAATGATATGGCTGACTACTGTCACCGATAATATTTCTAATTGTGGCGGAATGAATTATGCTGGGAGTCTTCAGTTGAGGGTGAGAAGACAGGAACACGTTGGACCAATAAGAAGACTCTAGAAGGTCTGAATTCTGCCAACGATTTATGCCTAGTGCCACTGAGGATATCAAAAAAGGTCAGAAACGCAAGGCAGATCCCTGTCAATCTGAAATCAGTTTGCAAGTCTTCTGGACTCAGCATGTAAAACAAGATTCGGATTTTCAACTCCATTGTTAAGTCACTTCTTCTATATGGGTCAGAAAATTGGCGAACGCATCACGGAAGCATTTCCAACAGGCCACTTTAAGACTTCTGTCAACAGCTGGCTTCTGTCCATATTGGAGATCAGATTACCAGCTTGGAAAAATTTGAAACAAAAAAATCTGGTGATGAACAAACCAGTCAAGAATCTATTGCTCCAAAAATATGCGGAAGAAAATAGAGATGGATGGGACAGATACTCAAGAGAACATTCAGTGACATCGCGCATCGGGCCTTCGAATGGAACCCGACTAAAAAGCGACGAGTGGGTGACTTGAAGAATATGAGAGACTGTTGATCTTTTGGTCAGCTAAAGGGGACAGCAGAGAACAGGACAAAGTGCATACATGCCGTTGAAGCCTTAAGTTCTAATCGGAACTCAAAGGATTAACAAAAGAAATAAAAATAATACAACTTCCACGATGTGCATATTAATGAAACCTAACCTTTGAAGAACTGAATTTCATGAAATAAATCTTATGACACTACAGCCTCGAAAGACTTTAAATGGAGTCCTAAGTATCTCGATAACTGGGTTGCGCATCAGTAATTGCTTTCAAAGTTTTACTAGCTGAATCTGGGCAATGGATAGAGGCAGTGTCGTTATGTGTTATTACGATGTTGTGTTTGGGTTGTTTACGTTGTTTTCAGGTGTTTTTTCAACTGAAATGCATTATAAATACCATATTTTAACGAAAAAACTTACAAAAATGGTGGAAAGTAGACGTTTTTCAGGAGTTTGAGTGAACACGTATTTTTCATCAAATTTAGTTGTTTCTTTGCATGCGGAATGTTAAAATTCTGTGTAAATTGTTTATTACGTTAATGAAAGCGAAATAAATTAGGTAAATAAAGTATATTTTGTGAAAGTCGGAATTGGTGCTTTGAATTTCTGAGTTCTGAAAATTTGGTTACAATCAGAAGAGTTTACAGCTATAGAGGAGTGTTGGTTGATTTATTCGGAACATAACACAGAAGACACAAAGTTTTTACTAAGATGTCCCTAGCTTTTTAACAATTTTGTATTGGTAATTATTTGCTAACAGAAGTATCACTATTGTTGGTTTTCAGGTTACAGTTGTAGTTTACGCGATGGTTCACTTGATTTGGAAGCTTTGATGAAGTGCAATTGAATAATTTTCATGTTAACGTTGGAATCGTTGTGATATTATGAAATCGTTCATTAAGATAAATATTTCTTAAAAGTTTTCACGGTATTCTTGTACTACTACTTCGTTTTGCTTGTCGAAGGAATAGTGATATAGCTATTTTTGGAATGTGTAATGATTTACTTCGAAAGAATGATAATTTGCGCAGTATAATAATACTAGGATAATTATCTTAAATAGGATATACCTATAATACGTTATTTTCGATGACCGTAGTCGTCCTGCAAACAACACAAACACATGTTTGACGCTCTTTTCTTCTCAACACTAATGCATACTTATACTATGCGCAAACGGATTAAATGTAACTGAAACATTTCATGCGAGGCTTGATGACGCACTGAGGAAATAATAACGGCTTACGACTATGACGCATTTCACACAAGTATTACTACGTTGCCTATCAATTTCGTTAACTATGCAATGTCCTCGAAATGACAAATAAGAGAGATACAAGTAGTCGACATAAATGCATATATTTACAAAAGAACAACAGTCAAGCAGTACATTTTCACATTAAAAAGGGTTTATAACATTTCAGTGAAAAAATTAGTTGTAGGTTTTTTTATGGTTACATCATAGTCAAATTAAAGTCCATTAATCGTTTTTTCCACAATATGTGGATCAGTTTCCCTCACATGACAGAGACACGACCAGTCTTTATAGCTTCCAGCACCACCCGATCCTTCAGAAGAAACTGGTTATGATCTTTTCATGCAATGATCGAGATTGTATTCCTTCGACCACCTCCCGCCGCACTGAGAAATATCTAAGGATGTATACATATCAGGTGAATTAATCTTACCTCAGGTAAACAATTCCTTATCTTAGCCACAATGAATATGTGAACAAGGGAGGGAACAATAGTAGAATCTGTAAGATTAGTACATATATTCTATGACACTTGAAGAATTATAGAACTTCCGATTTATCTTTCACAGTTTGTTTTCTGCTAAATGTAAATATTACACAACTATCCGTCCGTTACAACCAGCTGAAAAAAGACTAAATCGTCAAACTGTATGCCTCTTTGATTAAGTTAGAGAATAATATTCTTTTTGTTAATGGATCCAATACATGTCACATCTGTAAAATTTTACATATGTTAACTTGTCCCATTAAGCTGAAAAGTGTAATGTTTATGCGATTTTTATTATTATCATTTCAAAGCCCGCCTCAGTAACGTCTGCTACGTATTAGCAGCAGCGTTTACGCAAAGGAAAATCCACCAATCACAATATGCATAAGTGACCCTGAAGTGCTCAGCCTCTCCATAAGGTCGCGTGTGCCTCTATCCATTGCCCTGAATCTTAGCCTCAGATTAGGTTGTTTTGAAAATCACAGACCTTTGGAAAAAAATTTCAGAGCAAAGAATCACAAACATACTAATAAACATCCAAAGTAGAAACTAAAGACTAGTGAAGTCTCATGCTTTCGTCTAACAGAACATTCTCCTCAAACCGCAGCATATATATCGAAGTCGACATAATCAAAGTACCACAATGTAACAAATGATATTCTACTACCAAAGTGATGACTTAACTTGTTACACTCCACATAGCTATTTTTGTGCTATTCAAAGAAAAGATGTTGGACTCGTTACATTAAAATTACACGTCACACACAGGCATTGCCTTGGTCAATAATGACCATTCCGAATTTATACATACACAAAGTCAATGTTAGCACCTAAAGGACGCACATTTCCAAAGGAAACATCACATACAGGTGCTGTACATTCGTCATTCTGGTGGGGTGATTATCCGCTTATAGTTTAGCAGATACATCAGTTGCGCAAAACATTGATAAAACGTGTGAATATTGAACCTACTGACAAACAGATCTACATACCTTTCATTTTCATCTCCTGCATCGGATTACCATTCTTACTCTCCTCAGATAGTTGTTATTGCCCCTAGTCTTACGTGCCCTAGGATTGCCTGTTTAATGGAATACTGTATTCATGTTAAACGTCGCGTTCTGCTTTTAGGAAGTTGTTTCACCGGTGTTTTGCATAGCTGGAGTATCTGTTGCACTGTTTGCAATACTATGCGCGGAATAAACTTCAAGTCAATTTTGCCACCACCCGATATTACTGTATATTTTACCACCCTAAATTCAACTTAAAATCCTCAGTAAGTAAAGCCTTATATAATATCAAACGACTTGACCGAAAATGAATACTAGTAGTTGAGCAACCTCAAGATACCCTGAAATGGACAAAGGATGAAACAGAATAGTTCAAATCCTACTGAAACACTAAGAGACTTTAATACACGTCTCAAAAATCCAAGCATTAAGCGTAGTTTACATTAATAGTCATAGACTTCCCTAGTATTACAGATATTTCTTAGGCTCTGGCTGAGAGGCATTTGTTCAAAAACACTCAACAGAAAATGGCCAGTTTCATGCAATTCCGCTTCTCCAATCCCTTATATCAATCATTTTCTAATCACATGCAGGTTATCTGGAACGGACTATGTCATTCCAAATCACACTAAGGAACTCTTATAATCCACTGTGTCTTTTATTTATATCCAAAAAAGAACGACACAAACTCTTTCAGTGTAACACCAACTGAAGTATTGATTTAATTGGTGGATGGTGAGTAGCAGTGGAATCCAGGATGCGCATTTCGTCCTGTTTTGGACTCGTCAATCGACAGGAAAATCTAAAATTCAGTTGTGTAATTCTGTTCACCACATCATTGCTTTATATATATTAAGTCAATACTTTCTATCATTAGGGATAAGAATACATGAACAAAGCAACGTTCTAGTTGATTAATGACTGCACTTTACTAATAAGGATAATTTGCATTACTTAGTCTAGTAGTTTATACTACGGATTTCCAATGTCTTTTTCGCATTACAAAACTGAGGATGATACAAACGAACTCTTTCCGTGAAATTTAATGAGATAGCAACCATTCACAAGTCAAATGCTTTCAACTAGAGCAATAAACAGCAGGTTATGGGGGCTGAGAAGTTTGCCACTAGTGACTATCTGACAGTGACTTCCTTATGTTACATAGTACAAGAATGCGCCCATAAAATAACAATGGCGAATTTCTGGATGACATACTGAGTTGTCGTTCAACGGGTGTTTCTGTGCACAATAACGTGGTCAAATACTTAGTGAATATCAAAAAATTTTTTTTCCACTTTTTCGCACAATCACTACCGTTATAACCTGTAAAAACATCAAACGCATGAGGAACTTGATTTTTTATAATGAACTACACGGAAAAATAGCGAACATCGAATGGAGTATGTCCAGCAATTGGTATGATTCAGAAGTCTTTGACAGCTATATACGACAAAATAATTGAAAATGCTTCACAAAATAATTCTGTATTGTTTTGAAGGATTTATTTCATGCGAACAAAAATTATATTAATTGTATGTCATATAACGCGGAGTTGCACTGAATTTGGCATACGACTTGATAACCTTGTTGACAGCCTCTAAAAAGTCTTTTTCAGTGGCCATTTTTCTCCTTGATCTGATGGCGTACATTCCAGCTTCAGTACAAACACTACGAATCTCAGCACCTAGTAGATAAGAGAGAATTATATGAAGAATACAGATTCCATAAGAATACACTATTTTAATGGGATATATTTCAAAAAAGGAAATATTGTATATGTAATAGGCAGAAAATTGAAGGACAAAATAAAATGCAATTATATTCCCCTCTCAAGAAATCATTCTTACGAGTCATATAAATCTGCTGATACCCAATAACAAAACCACATAAGACCAATTAGACAATCGTTGGAGATCGTTATCTAATAAGAGTTATTCAAAAGAAGTGAAAGTTATGGGGTGGAAGGAAACATTACGTAATAGATATTAGGAAGACTACTTTAAAGTATCGGAGAAAGACAATAGTACAAAAATCAATGACAAAAAATAAAATTGAACCACTACTTTGATTATGCTAAGATATATATATATACATAATATTTTTGAAAAAAGGGTGAGTTTAAATTTGAGAATTCTTAGAGACTCAGACATTGTATAAGTGGAAATCTGTGTCCCTCAGAATGGTATCGCTTAACTTTGTAGATCACTACTAAGGTCAGACGTCCGACAATGAAGCTGTTAACAGTCATTCTAAATTGTTTTCATACCTAAAATATAACTGTATTGGATAAAGTTGAACAACAATTGATAGCTGTCAATATGCAAACACAATATCTCAATAACACTTGTGAACTGAAATCGCTCATACACAGATAATTGAGTAGGAATTATTATACTTGTGCGCTAATAGAATTAGTGCCGTGTACGACTAATGTGCTTCTCTTAACAAGTTTACAGATCTAAACTGTAGTGACAGGGAGTGGTGTTCCGTTTCTAAAGCAATAATGGATTAGATGTACGCTGGAATGGGTGATTCTCGGTATGACCACGTAGATATAGACCACGATATCTTCAGAGAGGAATTTCGAGGACTTGCGCCATTATACTCCAGATTCTTTAAGACGACTATCATCTTGTGGATTATTACTCTCCTTAGTATTCGCAGTTTATTCTGGGTACCTTAATTCGCTTTCTAAAAAAAGTCACTCGGAGATTTCGAGTTTTTTTCTATGATTTAGTATGAGGATTTCACCACTGATAATTATATTTATATTGCATCACATTCATATGGATAATGGCAATTAGAGTAGTGATAAAAGTTTAAATAAAGGCAAGATCAAACATAACTCAATTTTTATTTCAAATAGCATCTATAATTACTGGGTCGTCAAAACACATTGCTCTGTGAATGTGGCTTTTAGGTGTAGCTCTTGATGTTGGTATATACGTGCGGCTTCTGAAAGAAGCTGTAAATATTTGCCTTACATTGAAATGCTTTATTGTAAACGTATATATAGCATGAAAATCATTCGCTGTAAGAGCGCACAATATCTGAACTACAGTGAACAACTGAATAAATAATGTCGATCATTTTACAAACGTGCATCAGTTAACTTTGTCCTCCTTAGGAGAAGCACATAATAAAAGTAGAGAAAAAGTGTGAAAATATGATATTCAAGTGTTGGTTTGTAGAGATTTGATTTGATTAGTTATAGCATTTCATCATGAGCTGACGTCGGTTAGAGAACCACTGGGAAACCTGGAAGTACTGGACAACTATTTCTCTCTAGTTTGGGACTCTTCAACAGTACGCACCCACCGGGTTTCGAGTCTGTCTTGTAACCGAAACCCAGCGAGAGAATAATTAGATGAAGGTGAGTGTGTTTGTAACCTGGGTGATTACAAACAGCGAATGTTATCAGTGCTACCATAAACAGTTAGAAGACATGTTACCAACAGTTTCAAACTACTGACTACTAGCATTCTGAGTGCCTATACCACACAAAAAAGACAAATTTTTACCTACATTCAGAGTAAACTCTGTCGACGGAGCTTCTTATTTGGTCAACAAGATCAAATGTCTGCTATAATGATGCATATGCAGTGTTACCAATTAATTGGTTGGAAGTTAACTGAGAGATATTAGGATCTCAACACTGCAATAGCAATCTTTGAAATCCATAAAAATAACCAATTGTTATGATTAGTGTCAGTAGCGATTATGCAGATAAACATTTACGACAAAAAATAGTAGGACAAGCTAAAGAATTTTAATTTTTTTTATCCATTACATGATATACAAATCAGAATGGCTTTACAACAGAAACTTGTTAGTAAATAAATACAACAGAAACAAAAGGTAATACGTAGCAACTAAACTACCAACAACCAATGCACTGCCAAGGAATTTTCACGAGAATATCGGTGATCAATGGAGATTATAATAAAGGCTGAAGAAACGTTTTGTATGGTCTTCAGTCAAGTCACATTCCGCACGGGTAATCCCTCATATTTGACAACTCATACAGTAATCACATGTATACATTAAATATTTAAGAATGTAAATGATAATTCGATCAAACTTTTGGCTGTAACTATGGTAGAAATGTATTTTGGGTCATACTAAAATTATTTTATAAACACCCTGAAGGAAAGAGTTTACCTTGGACTTCCTTGTAAATTTTATAAATACGTAATTTAAAACTGTCCACAAGGTTAAGACCTATTCAAGAAATTTTATGAGACTATCACAGTGAGACAGACTTTACGAAGTCAAACAATACAGAGAGAGAGAGAGATTTTATTTGATGCTCAGTTGAAGGTACCAAATTAATGTGTAAATCACTTTGATTCTTAACAAGATGAAAGAAACTGCACTTAAGGAACATTTAAACGTTTAAAAGTGTTGATAGAATATAACATTTTCTTTCTGGTTGCTCGTGTGTCACTGCTAATATATAACTTTATTTTCTGTGTCAGTGAACAAAGTTACGAATCTATATTGATTCGAAATAAGTTAACGATGCATGAAGCCCTGAAAGGAAGTCCTGTCAATTCCTCCTTACTAGATAATTGCTCTTAAACAGAGCAACACATAAAACTTCTACCATGAATACATTATTCGATATACCCAAAATAATTAAACCTTAGACAAAAAACTGAGTGTAACTATAACATTCCCATGAAGAACAGTAGCATAAAATATCTATTCTCACTTTGTTGTAATATACAAATGAGTATTCCGTGCGATACACAGTGAAACACACAACAAAGCAAGCATAAAATGATTTTAAGCAGTCTGACGTAAAATAACAAAAGTGGAAATAAAAGTAGCTGTTCAATTTCGGTAGTTCAACTTGATATTTTCAATGAATCGTTCTCTACTAACATTGTGCCTGCTTCTTGGAAGGACTGTGACTAAATCATAAAGTGGACCAAGTATTAGGTTTAAACCTATTGCTATGACCTTACCTTTTATAAAAAATAATGGAGAAACTGCTTTACCTTAACTTTGAACTTTCATTTAAGGCTTTTAATTACCCTAAACAATTTGCTTATAAGCATAGTAGTGTACTTTAGATGCCATTGTTGTCTTATACCATAATATTATCTCTAATTTAGACAGAGGAGCCAAATATGTTCGGTGTACCTTCCTTGATTACACATCTGCCTTTGACTCTGTACCTAAGCCTCTTTTGTTAAATAAGCTTGCTGCAACACAAGCAGGATGCTGGACTAATAAGTGGCTGCATTCTTATTTGTCTGATACGAAGCAGTACATTGTTTACAATGGGAAGTCCTCCACTGCTTCACTTACTCTAGCTGGTGTTCCTAAGGTGTTGTTCTTCCTCCTCTTCTGTTTTCTTCTTACATGAATTGCCCCATTCTGACGAAGCAAATTTTGTTGAGTATGCCGATGATCTAACTGTTTCTATATCCGTTATTTCTCAAAGACTTCTCCAAAATGAATAACATTTTATTAGAAATTAGTCAGTGGTCCTTGTCAAATGGTTTTGAGCTAAATCCCTCCAAATGTTAGGTTGTTAATTTCACTTTCAGACACAAGCACGACTTACATGAACTGGTTGGTTCCCATGGTCCCACTATCATAGATGGCACAGAAGTTGGAACCAAATTGAATATTAAATACCTTGGAATGTGTATTTCCTCTGATCTTTCCTGGTCTTCCCACATAATCTTAATTCCTAGAAAGATATTTTGTTTAACGTTCTACGTAAGGAAGTAAAGACAATCTGGTATCACTCAATCTCTACTTCTTAAGCTTGTTAATTCTTGTATTCTACCTATCCTACTCTATTATTCCCCCCCCCTTAATCTTCCCTGGGCTACTTAAGAAAGACTTTATTACACTAAGAAAGGTGCTAAAAGCTGTCAGTAGGGCAAATGGGGTGTCACTAAACCAAGGTAGGACACTACCACCTAACTGAGAAACACTAAGTAAATGGCCCTCTTTTCTTATTTTTTTTCTTTTTTTTTGATTTACGGCTTGATTCCACACCGTATTTTCAGTACAAGTATGGAATTTTCAGCATGGATATCGGTAGCCCAAATTCAGGCCAACCATAGATATCGGGTGTGCGCCGGCAGGGGATCGAACCCCGGACCATGTGCATGGTCGGCGAGAGTCCTAACCACTGTGCCACCGACGCACAGTTAATATTTTCACTTAATTTTATAATCATGTTCATATTTAAAAATATTATCAATGTAAATGTCCTGTTTTAAATTATTATTCCTGCAATGAGAAAATTAAATGCAAAACTGCACTGCATGCTGAAAATCCCATACTGTTTGGAATAAAGCCATTATTATAATTATATTGTTATTATTAATTTTACAATATTTTCGGGAGTTAACAGTTACGAATGTTTGAATGAACTACTATCTAGTTGTAAGCTTTCAGTTACCATTAAAAATAACAAGTAAGCTTACAGTTACCCAGTTATTTGGAAATTATGTGAGTTGAAAAATTATGAAGTGCAACTACAAAAAACTTAAATTTCATCTCCTGTCGAATATAAAATTTTTACAAAAATCTGAATGAAACTAGGACGCTGTATTATGTCTTTATAAGTTACAGAAATCTATTACAAGTCTAAAGGTATGTTGAAAATTCTTTATTTTGTCAACAGAATAGAAATAAAAATGTAGTCATCATGTTCTCTCCCCAGAAAAACTTTTGACAGATGTTTTCTCTAGTAAAATAAAACTTTATTGTATACTGAGGTGAAACAAAGCCTATCGTCGCACAGTTTACTGAATAATAAAGCTGAAATGCCGAAATCACATGCCATCATATATAATGTAAAATTTACAAGCACGTGTAGAAGCAAATACGCTGCGATAACAGAGAGAAGGGTTATTGACCCAATTCTTAACGGAATACTCAGTTGGCCTCCCATTGTGGACATGAAAAATTACATAACTATCAGGAGCTTGTTTTCGACTCAGTGTCAGGTACAATTTTATAACGCAGTGGATATTTTTGAACTAGGCACTGAGGTATACTTGGTGAGCAGCAGCTCACCTTGTCATTCAAATCAGAATAAGCGGAGTGGAGTTCCAACTTGTGACATACTTTACAGAAATGCTGAAGCCAATGAAATAAATCCGGATGCAGCAAACATTGATTTCACGAAAAACAGTAGCACTGGCATTTCTACATTTTCCAGAGTCAGTGAATAACTATTAATACTGTCATCGCTATTATTATGATTATTATTATTATTAAGAAATAACCAGTTTCTTTTAATCGGCAACATCAGAATCACAGGTACATGAGCACTGTATCTGATACCATCTATGAACAAATCCAAAAAGAGTGCATAAACTACATAACAGGTCAACACAACTAAGACACAATTACTTACCAGTGCTGTTAGGACAAAGACGAGCGAGAAGTTCATACCGAATATCCTTTTCAACAGACATAGAACGAGCGTGTATCTTAAATATATGAGTACGACCTTCAAGATCTGGTAGACCAAATTCAACTTTACGATCCAAGCGACCAGGTCTAACAAGGGCAGGATCCAGTGTATCAGGACGATTGGTAGCCATTAGAACCTAAAACAGAAATTAAAGATGGAAATTGAAAATAAAATATCATTTTAACGACCAACATTTATTTCATTTTTGAAGGTTAGAAGAGTTAAAGTTTGAAAACACTGAAGCATAAGTGGTCAATACACATACACACATCTAGTGTTCAATATCTATTAGGCAGTAAACCAAAGGTTATATTATTAACATGCCCTGTCGGTGTAGTTCTAGTGGAGCTAAAAGATTATATTGACAAAATGTCAGATAAACTTTCAGACGGCAGTAAATTCTCAAAACTTACTAATGAAAGAAACCAAAATGAACTGGTTGTAAGACGACTTTTACAGCAGTTTTAAGACGACTTAAGAATGACCATTTGAATAGTGAAGTCTTTTTTAAAGAGACTGACTGGTAGGAACAATAAAAAGCCGGCTTCATGGTTTGTCGTAGACACACAAAGTCAACCTGCTAATCCCCAGGGTTCTGTATGTGCCTCGGTCCCCACCCTCTCTGGTCATTAAAACACTGGTATGTTGAATCCTATTAAGAGGTAGTTATTCACTTGCTTTGTGATAACTTTGAATTTATTAACTGTAAACAGGACATGCATGCATCATGTCAAATTACCATCCATTAACGTTTCACTGACAGAAACCAATCGTCCCATAGGTGCATACACAGATGATAAGTTGAATATTACAATATTAAGTGAACACCTGAGTGCATTAATACTAAGATGTAGATTAAATGAACAATTTACATTCAACGATACAAACTATAGGCAAAAACACGGAGCTTGCGTAGGATCTCTTTTTAACCCACTACTTGCAGACTGTTATATGGTAGAGTGTAATTCCGTTATGGGTAAATTTTATTTTGATAGAGTCTCAGTGTTATACAGTAATATTTACTGATGACGTTCGGAGCACAATTTATTGCTTATAATCATATCAAGGTGACCTGAAAAATGGTCAACTGAAATCAAGAAGCCGTTGTTTTTAATTATATAAAAAATGTGTGGATGACAGGTTTAGTAGCCACCAACCATCCATAAAATTCACTCTTGAGATGAAGAACGAGTTCCACATTTGTTTTCATAATGTAAAGCTATTAATGAGGATTAGGGTATCCCGGAAATCGACCTATAAAAATCTGTCATGGAGTAACCAAAAGGCGAATTTCCACAGTAGGGTACTTATTGATCTCAGGAGAAATCTGGTTAGATCACATACCAATCTCATTCGGTATGTGTGTAGTCCAGATGCCATGATGGAAGAGACGAACATTTTATGAAATATTTTGAGGGAAAACGAGTACATACATTCTGGTAAAAAAACCAAAAAGAATACTTCGGGTGTAATGTGTCCTTTGCTGTAAATGAATGATATCAGAGATGGCCCAGCTACTGACATCCTGAAAAGAAAAATCTGGAACTCTTTGAAAATATAAATCGCTATAGTAGTGCTAAGAGTAGCATTGTTCGAATGACCATTGTTTTCCAACATCCCGAAGGAAAAAATTTCACATTTGACCAACTGTGTATACTAGTTTACCCTTGCTCCAGTGGAGTTAGAAGTATGAATTGTTCCATGCATGTTGTGTCAAAGAGTGCAATAACACTATCCCGTGTTGCTACGAAGAGGTAGAAGCAGAACTATAATAAGCGCGACAGTTGAAAATCAAGTTGATACTGGGTATTCTACCATTCTATCAGTATCGGTTATTTACAAAGGGAAAGATAACTTGCAAAGCCAGTGCATGTCTGCGTCTTCAGTACTCCTGAAGCTTGAGCTTCCAAAAGAAACCACAGAAAACATCAATGTGGATCGAGTACTTCGCAAACACTAGATTTTACACCTCAATTCTTCCCCGTTACATCATCCTCCAGTGGCTGAAGTAGATTCATTTGGAAATCAAAAGCAGTGTGGATTTACGGTGCATATCTCATTCAAGATGAATAATAGGTAAATCAAATGAGCCAAAATGGACAGAACCTCTGGAAAACAGATTTCGTCACCACTACTATTCTTCCTAGAATGTAGGTTGACTTTTACAAAAAGGATGATAATGGTTTGATTTAATTATAATCATATAATCTTCAAACCATACAAATAGTACAAGTAATACCAGTTCTCGCAAGTGGCTAGCCAGGATAAGGGTAGTTCGAACTGATTCAACTTTATAAACACGGATATTTAGTTAAGATAAATGAATTACTGACATGAAATGAGATATTTTGCATCTCAGTTCTTAATAAATCTTCAAGTAATAACTGACTATATACATATATATGTATATTATATATATATATATATAACCACAAAAATCGAAGACAAAATGGTGGTGACAGTATTATTTACTGCATGATATCTCAGGTAAAATCTGACTCAATCACATCAACCGTATGGTAAAAAGTAATACTGTATCAGTCTGCTTTATTAAATAAACATTTTCTATACAAAATTAGATACTACCACAATGAAGCTTTTCTGTAACATCATACTACGTGCTGCTTAAAAGATATAAACGACTTCGACTATCTTTAAACATTACGAACTAGATTAAATGATGTAGCTTACTTTTATGTTCCCTCTTGGATCAAAACCATCTAACTGATTTATAAGCTCAAGCATAGTTCTTTGTACTTCATTTTCTCCACCCAGCCCATCATCAAATCGAGCACCTCCTACGGCATCGATTTCATCGAAAAATATAATACACGCTTTCTTCGATCTGGCGAGTTCGAACAGCTCTCGAACCATGCGTGCACCTTCACCGACATACTTTTGAACTAATTCTGAACCGATAACACGAATGAAACAGGCGTCTGTACGATTAGCCACTGCTCTTGCACACAATGTTTTACCCGTACCGGGTGGACCAAACAGTAATACACCTTTGGGAGGTTCGATACCAAGGTTAACGAATTTCTCAGGCTAATGAAAAATAAATAATCAGATTAAGTGGAATTACGAATGAAAATGAGGAAGAAACTTTAACTTTCTATTGGACAATAAAATACCAGCTTTTTTAATTGAGTCGGTGGTGAAATTTCAGGTAAATTTCACTCCTCATACCATTACTGTGTCGACTGAATCTGCAATGAACGAACACCAATAACTAAAAACATCCGCGAGTTAGACAATTTTAAGCATCTTGATGATATCCAAGAGTTTCATTAGTTAAGTGATCGATTGTAAGACGCTTTATTGTAAGCGATTGTCTTACACGTATAGAACACGACCTTTTGGAGTATAGATAGACACAGTCAAATCGATAATTTTCAAGTTTTTTTTAAGATAGTGGATTACTTTTCGATGAAGATATTAGCAATTAAGTGTCGAAATCTTGAATCTACACCTTGCTGAAAATAATATTGAAGAACATATTGGCTGGTACTATAACTATAGTCTCTAAAACTCAGTGACCACAGTTAGAATATGCCTCGTGTGTGCACAGCTGCAAACCTGAATAATGGGGTAAAATATAACTGATAATCCATTCTTAAAGTGCTACCTTTAAGAGGAAATTGAAATAAAATACTAATAACGTAAGAACGTGAAGTGGACTGACCTAAGTACGACTGTCAAAGTAAAATTCCAACACGGGTACAAACGATTTAACTTTTGCTGTATGCAGTAGCACGTGAAATAAATAAACCAGAAATATGATAAAAACGAATGTGAAAAATATAAGAGGATTAGTTCAAAAGTTTTTCAAAAGACGTTCATTACACCAATGTTGAAAATCTCAGGATAAACAAGTTGTAGCTGAACGGATGAACTACACTGTACTTCATAACTTCCTAAGTTAGTACTAAAACGCCAATGAAGCCAACACAGAAAAGAGTATTGTTCTGGTTTTTTGTTGTTAAACATTAGATCGTAATGTGTAAGGACTACCGAAATGATAGAATGCGGCTAGAGTCATGGGGGGGGGTAAACTTTACGAACACACCACAGTCGCAATCAAATTGGAGTCCAGGGATTAGAATCCCCTTTGAAAGACCAGCATATACACGCACAGACATACCACGGAGCTTTATACCGACAGCTGGGCAATGTAAAAATAGCTAAGTCACCCCAATCTGTAGAACTCTGTGTGAAGTTAGGAACTGGAAACCTCATAAAAGCAATAACTAATTTTATTCAATAGTTGGTAAAAAAAGGGTTGGTGTTTTTGATGGCTCAGGATCACTTATTACGGAACCTATGATATACTTACGAGAGAAAGGGGTGCATAAACTTCAGTTAACACCTAACAATTCACGTCAGTAATGCTTTGTCAGCATAAAGAAGCAAGAGTTTCACAAAACCACGTACAATTCACCTTCTCAGTTTAAAGTTCCGACAATTACCAAGAATACTCAGTCGACAAGTATAACTTTTTACTAGAGAAATACTTACATGAAGAAGAGGTAACTCTACTACCTCTCTTAGCTTCTCTATTTGTTCTTTGCAGCCACCCACATCACTGTATGTGACATCCGGCTTGTCTTCTACCTGCATCATAGTTACACTTGGGTCGATCTTAGGAGGTAGTGGTATGTGGATTTGATACTTAGTGCGGTCAACACCAACACGCATTCCCTCCTCAATATCAGTAGGTGATACGGTGTCAGCTAAATCAACAACAAATTTAGCGAACTGCTTTACGTTGATAATGTACTTTGGCTCTTCATTGTCTGCATTAATAATCTTTGTGCATCGGGCAACCTGAAGTGGATGTTCACCTGAATCAAAGTCACTAAAAGTTAGTTATTTTACTTGATAGGCAGGCTTTATCAGCAGCTAAATCCCAGAGGGCAGGAGGAGCCAGGCCGGTATCTGATTCTTTAAGGCCTACGGGAGAATAAGGAAATGCAAAGACAAACCAGTTAACTCGTTTACACGTTTCATGTAAGTCTGTATATCTTCTTCACATTGCTTAATTTCCTTGCTATACGCAGCTGAACTCTACAAAATATATGCAAAGGATTTTAAAATCTTACATATGTCTTCAGTAAAGCGATATCTCCTTCATCAAGAGCTACAACGAATAACTTTAAGGATCAATAAAAAATTTTTACCTTTTATAGGTTTTTCATCATCCTTTTGCTCTTTCGTTTTGCGTTGATCTGCACCCAAATGATCTGGCATTTTTGCTGTGTAATTAAGAGAACCAAAAATACCACCGTAGTACAATGTACAAGTGCCAATTTACAAAACCTGCGAAAGACCTCCTCTACTGAAATAGGGAGTTTTTAATGTCTTAATTTCGTTGTGTCAGTCATTCAAGCCATATATTTTTTTAAGAAGCCCATCTATTGCATTCATGTAACCAAGTAAGCAAAACGGTATCAATCAATACTACGAAACTAGATTATACCCTACTATATACAGACTGTGAGTGTTCAGAGCAAGCTAGCCGAGTTAACTAGTTCCCTTTACGACTAAACAGTTCTGAGGTCAGAAAAAGTGGAAGGTTTGGGGTGGGACGATCTACTTAAACCCGGAAAATCAACCCAGTCTCTGAAGAAATTTCACTCATAGAGAAAATATAAAAATAAACTTATTCTTCACTGGAGTCAGAAAGGTGGAGTGGCGCGAGCTGATAAAAGACCTCAGGAAGCTACTCAACTAGGATGTCTTCTTTTGATGAAAGATCAATGTTAAAAGCTTTGTAAGGCCACTCCGATTGTCAAAGAGATGGGAATTTAAGGTAATTATATTCTAAGAATCTATAATAACAGTTGGAATGGAAGTAGACCGAATAGTAATTAATCTACTCCTATCATTTTAATAACGACCAGTAAAAGACTGGCGGAGTAGCTGGTCTGTCTCCAGTTGTTTTGGGGGATTCCACCTTCACTCTGATGGTTCGCTGAAAGTGCAATTGCTCTTGCACCTTTGATGTCCAACAGTCTGGAAACTGGTAGGCCAGCACGTAATAGCGACTAACGTCGCTGGCGAACCACTTCCATGTCGCCTTTTCTATGTTACTGACCGTAACACTGAGACACGCTTCCTGGTTGACAACGGAACGAGGCTAGCGGGATTCCACCAACAGCTGAAGGACGCCTGCAGCTAATATCCTTACAGCCCCACATCGCAAATGGTACGCCTATCACAACGTATGGTAGAAGGTTTCTGGACCTTAACATTGGCTTACGTCGATCATATCGTTGGGTTTTCATCGTGGCAGATGTGACCACCGGTATCATTGGTGTGGATCTTTTGCAGCATTATTAGTTACTATTAGATGCTCGCAAACACAAGTTGATCGATGCATCCATAAAACTCTCGGTCTCCGGTGTTGTCACGCACAAACCCTCTTTAAGTCCAGTGTACTCAACACCTGCCACTAATGGCCCTTACGCTGACGTCCTCCAGTCCTTCGCTAACCTTTTCAAGCCGGTTTCCGAACTTCCATACGTGACTTCTAATGTCACTCACCATATTGTGACGACTGGTCCACCTGTATTCGCAAAGACACGGTGATTGTCCCCAGAAAAACTCCAAGCCGTAAAGGCCGAGTTCGAACATACGTTGGAGATGGGGATAATCCGTCCTTCTAGCAGCCCGTGGTCTTCCCCGGTATATGTGGTGCCTAAGAATAACGGAATAGACTGGAGGCATTGTGGGGATTACCGCAGACTTAACGCGCAGACCGTGCCAGATCGTTATCCTGTCCCACACATACACGATCTGACGTCTTCTCTCAAAGATGCAATGGTATTCAGCAAGCTTGACTTAACAAGAGCTTACCATCAGATCCCAGTTCATCCCGAAGATATTCCTAAAACAGCAGTGATCACTCCTTTTGGTCTTTTCGAATTCCTTCGAATGCCCTTCGGTCTCCGCAACGCCGAACAGACATTCCAACGTTTCATTCATGACGTTTTGCGCGGATTGGATTGTGCGTATGCATACCTGGACGATATTTTCGTGGCTAGCTCAGGTGAAGCTACTCATCGTATGCATTTGCAGATAGTTTTTGAGCGACTAATAACATACGGTTTGACACTTAACAGTCTTAATTCCAGATTGGCATCCGTTCGTAGACTTTTCTGGGACATATCATTAATGAACATGGCATTCGCCCGTTACCTGAAAAGGTACAGGCCATACAAAACTTCCTAGAGCCTACGTCCACAAAATCTTTGCGCACATTTCTAGGCATGGTGAGTTATTACCGGCGGTTTGTTCCTCAATGTGCACATATTTTACATGCACTCACAGACCTACTAAAGAGTAAGTGCAAGACGTTCAGCATGGCAACAGAGGCTCGGGAAGCGTTCCAGAAAATTAAGACGGCGATTGCAGACATGAACACGCTAGTCCACCTAGACGTCCAAATTCCGCTTATCATCTCGGTTGACGCATCTAACACAGCCATTGGAGCTGTCCTACAGCAACAGGTACATACCTCATGGATACCAGTCGCCTTTTTCTCTCGGAAGATGTCCGCAGCTAAAGCGAGGTATAGCACTTTTGGCAGAGAACTCCTCGCCATCTATGCCGCTATCAAACGTTTTTGCCATTTCGTCGCAGGTCAGCAATTCACGGTATTCACCGACCATAAACCCTTAACGTATGTCCTAGGCACCACCACAGACAGGTATTCACCACGTGAACTACGTCACTTGGACTACATTTCACAGTTCAATTCCGATATTCAGCACGTTTCCCGAGCTGGTAATCCTGTAGAAGGCGCTTTATCTCGTGTATGCACTATATCGGTGCTACCAACCATCTATCTTAAAAAATGGCTGAACTTCAGCTGACGGATTTAAACTTAGAAAAACTATCGCGTGAAATCTCTCTGAGGATACAAAATGTCCCTCTGATGAACAGTGAAGCGACTTTACTGTGTGATACGTCAATGGGCACTCCTCCATAGATTGTTCCCATATCTTTACGCCCTATCATCTGTAATAAGTTTACTAGCGGACGCAGTGTGCTCAAGCACAAGAAAATAAACTGAGCGACAGTGATCTCACCTGGTGGACCCACAAAACATCAGACGGACTTATTTTCAGTTGGAAAAGGGCAAGGAAAGCTTGCAAAGGGGTGAATGAGCTGAGTGAATGCAAATATTCTCTCACACAAATACTCTATCTCTTCCCGCCGACAAACATTTGGAGTCTTCATAAATATCAAGCATCTGTATGTATACAAAGTGAAATTTCCCATGAATGAATCTTCGACTTCGGCTAACTTGGAAATCAATGTGCTTTCAACATCACATTCTTATTTACTCATTCTTTCATCAAAAGCTTTGCTAACTAGCCACAAGTGGAAGGTAAACCCCATCTCGATCTGAATATCAACAACGATTTATTCATTCCACTCAAATGTAAAAGACTCTCATTTAAGCAGCTATTCATTTTCACTTCCGTATGCCTGTGGCCGCCCATTCTGGCTTGGCGAATTTCTCATTATAGTCTTCTTCTGAGAAGTGCACAGACACTCCCCACTCTGTTTTAGGCCGGTCTACTATAGTACATCATTTGTGTATTCCATCAGTCATTTTTATGTTATTCTCATTCAGGATTCAATTTATTTGGCTTCTCTGAAATACATCGCCTTCAGAGTTTCTTCCCTTTTACCTTCGAAGCCCGGTTGTGTTGTTCTAGATTCGCTTCGGGCTTCGTGATAATTGGTTTAGAAGACCATTTAATGTTAGAGGATATTTGTGGCGGATAATTCCCAGGCCAAAACAAGGTAGTTAGTCAGCACAAAAAATACTTGTTGCCATCTGTTTCGTAGAAAGGGAATATTAGACAATCTCGGGATGCCTGAATATGAATTTAGAGATAACAGTACTAAATTTTTATTCGTCTGTACATATGGAACACCACTCAACAGCCATTATCAATGTGTCAAATATTGTATATATGAAGTAAGCGTATTTACATTTACCCAAATACACATGGTGCATATGTATGTATATAAGACAGGGTAATGGAGTAGTATCGCTGTTACGTCTAATATTTCTACATCTAAACACCAAAGTTGTACTTTATACACCATTTTGCACTTTGTGCTAATCAGACAGTTTGTGCTTCAATAGACTCTTGTACACTTGTTTGATTCGAAATTTTGTTAATCGCAAACTAATTTTGCGTTCAACTACTGTAATCCGTGTATTTGGATGCCGGACAACCTCATCTTTGAAGATATGTACCATGTTTATCTCATGCATTTGGTTTTATATCACAACAATCTTGAAATTCTTCAACATCCTGTTGTCAATTTAACTTAATTTGGAACCTATCAGTTTGGCTTTGAATTTGGTCAGTTGTAACTGGAAGCGTTTGTTTTATTTTGGATTCGATCGAGTTCATTTGTAACAATTTAATGTTGTTTCGCTTTGATCGAAGGCTGAAGGGTTATTCACGTGGAGCATGTAACATGTAATTAAAAGTGTTGATTACTGGGATTTTGAACGAGACTGTGTTGCGCTGAGAAATTATATGAAGCTGGAACGCACGATAAGTTATTTATCGGGGTGAACTAACATCGAGATAAGAAAATATAACATGTTACTCTTCGCAGTGGTAATTCATTAGTAATTTGTAAGGTGGAAGGGTGGTGTTCGCTATTCAGCGGATATGATGGTGGGACATAAGAGAACCACCCTTATCTGTGGGAATGCGCTCTATTGCTAAGGCTCCTGAGTGTGAATGACTTCAAAAAAATAATAATAATAAAATAAAAGCTGCCTGTATGACAAAGCTTGTGTATAAACTCTTTGAAAACAAGCTCATGGTATGATTTCCTTACTTCAGGAGGACATCTGTATAAATCAGAATAACAGCATAAATAAGTATCATCACTCTTTTTGTTTTTCTTTCCTTCTACATATTTTATGTAATTTGGCGTTTGGATTTAACTCCTCCAACTTCTATTCCCACTACCCTATATAGGTGTAAAAATCATTATTCGTTTTGCCCTTATGCTTTTTTTTAAAATTGTTATTCTATATTTTTTGTTGTTTACTACCACAAACTTGAACTAACTGTTAGTATGTTACACTATAAAACTCAATGACTCTAAATTATTAGTAACAAAATAGTGTGTTTATCGCATATTGTTTGCTTAAATTATTATTATTTGCTGACTGCCTCTGCACCTCTCTTTCTGTTTTCTTCTTC